CAGGTGCCCTGTGAGCACTCTCAAGACGAATGACGCACTGTGGTACAGTTACAGCTCACCACAAGCAAAAAAAAAAAACAAAGAATGAAAAAGACTGAGAATGAGATCCATCATTCCCACTCTCCCACTGTTATTCCTCCTTTCCTTCTATCCTCTGCCTTTCTTGATATTTTATTCAATACCCCATGCTCTACCTCTTGCCCATGCTGGTATAAATTGGCAGGATAATATAAACACTCATATTTCAGAGCAGTGTAAAATTTTGAGCACCAAACCAATGTTCCAGCAGGCTGAGCAGCACCAGCCCAGGTGTCTTTCACACTTGCCACAAAACAGATTGGCCAAAGCTATTTCCTACAAGTGATTAAAATGCAATCTACCTGTTAGTAGTTCAAAAAAGCATCTCAAATATGAATGCAAAGTAAACCTCCATTTTTTTTCCAGAAACCCCAGGTTCCAGAGACTTCTCTCAGAAATACTAAAGATGGACTAACTCAATGCAGTGACAGCTCTGTAAAGACATTTCAAGGAAAAATTACCTAAGCTTCAAATTTCTATATACTAAATGTAGATAAGTTTATTTTCACAAGCATTGTAAAAGTTTTGAATTATCATAATCCTATGCATATTCAAACACAAATTCATTATACTGAAGTCATCATCTTTAATCTGGATGCTTTGAACAGTTTATAGCCTCCCTTTTACAAGTAAAAGGCATCTTTATAATCAGGTACAGCTCCCCAGATTTACTTATTTTAACAAACCCCTTCCCATGTATTTTCCTCCATTAGCAATATAAATGTCAGTCACAGGACATAAGAAACCCTATTATAAAAGTGAAATTTAATGAAAATTAATGTTTTCATTTCCAATTCTATTTTCAGAAAATTCTTGTTCTTTGACAAATATTCTCTTTAATCATGAGATCAGAACTACTATCATTTCAAATTCTTCATAGCTGACTGTCGCATTAAAAATTCAAAGAGTCTGACATTTTTTCTTATCGTTTTTAACAACTTCATTCTTTCCAAAAAGTTGCTAAATAAGATCTTTGGTGCTACATACTTCAAAGATGATCTTAACAGATGCTTAAATATTATCCCTGAGTAGAACTGAAGACTTCTTGATTCTATAAAGCAGTAATTATCAATCCATAATTCACAAAACCTCAGGAATTAGTCTGCAAAACCCCTGCAAATATGTGGAAGAATACACATTTCACTTTCCCATGCACGTAAGTAAACACAAAAAGGAGAGAAGTGACAGTTATTGAATTCTCAGTGTTTAGCTCCACTTTGTTGTTGCTGTAAATGAAGACAACTGTGACAAAACCGTACAAGACGATCCACTTACTCCCCCTCTCCACAAAAGAGTTGACCCTTTTTTTCATTAAATACTGAGAATGACTTCTTACAGTGGTTCTTGGAATAGTTAACTGGAGACATTGCTATGCCAGACTACACTAAGGTCTCAACTTTAGCAGCTCTGGCCTGTCTCAGATTGCAATTCTGAGATGAAGAACCATTATCTAGAAAATGCAAGGTGCCTGTCTTCTTTTTAAAGACATTTAACTAACTTTCTTAGGATATATTAAACAATGAAAATCCAACAGAAGAGTTCCTATCAGTTCACCAATACAGAAATTGTGTTGTATTGTAATATCAGAACTTATTTCCTGTTCCCGGACACCATTCCCTTTTCTAGCAGGCAGAACACAAAGCTTGATTTGCATCTTCTTTTATGCACTGTAAGATGTGAAAACATTGTAGCTTCCAACAGAGAAGTACGAATAGCACAGTTCATTTCCCTTTTAAAGCCTTTTACAAATAAAAAAAAAGAAGAAAAATACTGCTTTTACAGTGGCCTTATTTTTTAGTGGCCCCTACACAGCGCCATAGAGTTTAGATCTATTTCAGATATGTATGGAACTCCTTCATAATATTCAAGTATTTTATACACGATAGTGCGAAGAGGGCTCAATTTTGCTTAAATTCCCACCAGAATTGGACGGGGGAAAAAGAGTAGAAGCAAGGAAGTAGATTTCCAATGAAATGATGTTTTGTTGCCTCAATAGGTGTAAGAAAGCAATACCTTCTTAATCATTTTGACGTATTGAAGGCACATTCAATAGCACAGAAACAAGCTATATCCTAGATATTTCCAGCAACCTGCAAACATTAATTTATTCTCGCAAGCCTGAATGCTGAAACTGTGACAGGACAATATGAAACTGGGGAATAAGCAGTGAAAATACAGCTCCACAAACAGACCATTCGCTGAAAGGTATGTTGATCCAAAGAATGACATTTCTAATAGCCTCTCAAAGACCCAGGAAAGCCTATGTGTTACTGTTTAGCTAGACAAATTCTTCCTCAACACTGCACAAGTCATCTTTCATCATCAACATGCGCTGGTGCCAGATCTTTCAATCCAGCAACATATAATGCATGCCAGTCACATATTTTAGACCATTTAAGTTCTTCTAATTAAGCAGTATTTTAAGAGAAAAATTGTTGCAGTAGACTGACGATTGTACATTAACTTTTATTAATTTAAGATTATCTTGAGAGCTACAGGCAAAGCTGGAGTTTTCTAACAAAACAGTTCATAGCTGCAATGCAAAATTTTACTGAAATCATTAATGCAGAAACTGCAATAGGCATTTTCCTTTAATCCACTCGGACAAATGAAGCAGTATATAACAGCAGGAATTCTTTTGTAATATCCCTAAAGCATCTCAAAAGCAACAGTTGTTTGTTTACACAGATTGGTATTTTTAACGTTTTTCAAAAGTTGGTAAAGAGCTACAATGACACTGTTTGTTAACTTTCTTTTGTAATTACACATTTTTCAGGTGAATGTTGGTTGACTGAATCTTGTTGCAACATTGAATTGAAACTTCTCTTTTTGCAACATAAAATTACATCACCTAATCCGTGTTTCTTGGACTATTCTCCAAGTTCAGAAGTTCTGTGTGGTTGTTTTTTAAAGCCACGAGTGCACTTTTTACTTTTTAAACAAAAGTACTAAAATCATCTTAATGAGAATTTTAAAAAACATCAGGCACATGCTATATAACAGAAATGCAGAAAGTAACATACTTACAGCTTCAAAAGATAAGTTAATATGTTCCAGGAATTTCTGCCTTAAACTGTCAGTTAGTTCACTGAAGCGATATCGCAAGAGATCCATTTCTTGTTGAAGAAACCAACGCCTGAGATCCTCACTGCAAAGAAATAACAGAAAACCCCCATAATACATTTTCTGATTACACATTCCCTCTTTCCTTATAAACTAGATGTCAAACCTAGTGAACACAGCATTAAAGGTAGTGCTGACTTTCGCATGAGACCCACAAGCTGAGGAGCTTAGAAGAGAAGGTAGGAAGCTTCAGGAAGGAGCACTTAAACAGAAAAGATATTTGAAGAGACACAACACAAAGTAGTATGACAGCGGATGTTTTAGAAGAACAGAGGTAGTCAATCTCAACACTAAAAATTGCTCTGTAGGTATCAAAGCTGTTAGTCTCTTTTAAATGGTACTCACCATTTCTTACTTGTTTTAGATAAGAATAACCAACTGCAGATAACATCCTCCTTTGGTACTTAGAGGACAGCTTTTTTTCTTCAACATGGCACAACAGTCCTTCATTGTACATTAACGTCACAATTAATCTGATGAAGCAAATACATTATGAAGCCTACTTCTTTTAATTCTCACTTTTGGGGTACCCTCCAGGTGAAGGAACACGCACATACGTCAGATACTGTAACAACAGTGCTCTATGCTAGCCAAAAATACCCTGGAAGCAGGCAAATGGAAAATATATGACAATGAACTTAGGTGAGGAACACATATAGAACACCTAACACTTGACAAAAGAGCAAAGGTGTGTAGCAACTGCAAGTGAGCAAGTAAAAGAATAAACAAAAACACAGGGACAGGAGTCAGTAGACAGCATAAAAGAAAAACAACACTGAAGACAGCCTGTAAGTACTCATATTACTCTTTGCATACTGATTTTTGGATTGCTAACATCCCAGCATTCAGATTCCCAGGCATCAGCACAGTTACCCAAAGCTATAGTGAGTAGGTACCAGAATATTAGTAACAAAAGCCACCCTACATATACAAGCACAGAATGCAGACGGTACTGTATCTCGCTATTACAGGGCATTCTTTGAAAGCATCTTCTCAGAGCTACACGGTGGACTACTGCCATGACAATTCACAGAGCACAGAAATACTGCAGTCTTAGATGTTCTCCTTACGATATTTAAACACCTTTTCCCAGAGGAGACCAGTGAATGAAAACAAGAGTTTTTTTGTGTTTTTGTGGACAAAACCTCCGCTTGAAATATGGCTTGAGGAAAAGTAATTATTATTCAAATTATAATTCCAGATGGAAAGGCTCTGCTCAGGTGCTTTGTAAAGTATCCCTATGGACAGTTTCAGTGCTTGGGACGTGCTAATAATCTGTGCAACTTAAAATGGAAGTTAACAGTTTTATGACTGATCATCTGCAGTTCTGTGATCATCTTGAACAGCAACAAAATCCTAGGATGTGACAATTTTACTCTTTTCCTAATTCATCAGCTTTACACTGCGTTTGTGTTCCTAAAAACAAAAAAATTAAGCGTATATACTTACTTTGGAGGCCAGCCCATCTCTTCCTTTCCTTCAGAAGAGTAGATCAAATGCTGTAATACCACCTACCCACTAAACTCTAAAACAAGAAAATATTACTGTGATCCCTAACACAACACACACACCTACCTGGATTCTTCCTACAGATGACAAACTAGCTGATGAGCTGGCTTATGTTGCTGTATATGTCCAGCATATACTTTACAAATTACTTTACTAGGAACAGCATCATTAGGGCATTATTTATGTTCATTTTTTCCTTATGGCTTTGGAAAATTTTACATCATTTCTAAACCCAAATCATAGAATCTTTGGGTTGGAAGAGACCTTTAAAGATCATCTAGTTCAATCCCCCTGCAATAAGCAGGGACATCTTCAACCAGATCAGGTTGCTCAGAGCCCCGTCCAGCCTGACCTGGAATGTTTCCAGGGATGGGGCATCTACCACCTCTCTAGGCAACCTGTGCCAGTGTTTCACCAACCCCACTGTGAAAAATTTCTTCCATATCCCGTCTAAATCTACCCCCTCTTAGTTTAAAACCATTTCCCCTTGTCCTATCACAACAGGCCCTGCTAAAAAGTCTGTCCCCATCCTTCTTATAAGCCCCCTTTAAGGACTGGAAGGCTGCAATAAGGTCTCCCTGGAGCCTTCTCTTCTCCAGGCTGAACAACCCCAACTCTCTCAGCCTTTCTTCATGGGAGAGGTGTTCCATCCCTCTGGTCATCTTTGTGGCCCTCCTCTGGACCCTCTCCAACAGGTCCATGTCTTTCCTGTGCTGAGGGCTCCAGAGCTGGGTGCAGGACTCCAGGTTGGGTCTCACCAGAGCAGAACAGAGGGGCAGAATCACCTCCCTCGCCCTGCTGGCCACACTGCTTTGGATGCAGCCCAGGATAGGGTTGGCCACCTGGGCTACGAGCGCACATTGCCGGCTCATGTCCAGCTTTTCATCCACCAGTACACCCAAGTTCTCAGCAGGGCTGCTCTCAATCCCTTTATCCCCCAGCCTGGATTGATACCAGGGGTTGCCCCAACCCAGGTGCAGGACCCTGTGCTTCGTCTTGCTGAACCTCATGAGGTTCACATGGGCCCATTCCTCGAGCTTGTACTTATCATGTCTTATACGCATTATTAACATTTTAAAAAAATCGTACACTCTTATTCCAGACACCTATCAGTAATAATGCTTATTGTCAAAACCACAAGCTTAAGTGAAAAGCAACGTCACTGTCATTAGATAATTAACGAAGCTGCTGCTGAAGATGAGACAGTTGCAGGTAGTTGAAGCACAGACTTTAGGAATATCTCCTCAGTTTTTGCCACTTAACTTCTTTGTGTGCAGAATACTCAACAGTTTAAATCAGATCAGTAGATTCCCGACTAGAAAAATAATATGAAAGAAAAGGCTCTTTCATATCAGGGAACAGCACCACAGGGCGGGGGGGGAACAAAACACAAACAAAATCTTCTTCCTCCACCCAAGGATTGGTAGGAAATACTGACATAGTTGTTATGAAGCATCAACATAGAAGTACTTTAGAAAGACATGATCACACTCCTAAATCTGGAGCCTAAGACTATTAGCTCACATTCCACAACTAAATATGAGAGTTCAGTTACCAACAACTTAATGTTAACTTGTGAAAAGCCTGGGCATGGGCATTTAAGTTTCAAAACGTAGACAGCAAAACAAAACAATGCAATTTATAAGTGAGGATTGATGCAAACTAAAAAAAAAAGTTGAAGTAAACTCGTACCCCTGGGTGGCACTGTTGGCCAACTAGAAACTTAAAAAGGCGGGGTCGCAGGAAAACAAGCCTGTAAATACAACTGCCTGGCAGACCACGGGGAATTGAATTCAAGCCGGTTTGCAGTTACGTCTACTTAAGTACACTTTTTCAAACACTCTTACCTTAATAGCTTTCATCACTTAACCTAATGATTTGTGCCAAGTTTATCTGGCTGACCTAGTGTGATTAAAAAACTTAGAAAACAGTATATTCTATTTGCCTCCCAATTTTACCTTTTGGGGAACATGCCAGTTTTAGAGCATAGAAATATCTCATCCCTGAAATAGCTGCTTTTCAAGAAAGAATGAGGAATGCTGGGTCCAGTGGTCACCTCATAGTGTTTAAGATGCTATTTTCCATTTTATGAGTAATCACTAAGTCTACTTTTTTAAAGAGAAAAACAAGGTACTTTAAGTGGAAACTGACTATCAAGCTGTTTCATTGAAACACTGCATCAAACTACCCATACATAAACAGGAACACAAAAATATATTTGCAAGTTGTTTAAAAACAAGGAGCCCCATCCAAGGCCCCTCCTCCCTAAGAAGGGGTCCTTCCCCCTAGACTACAAAGCCAGACCCTTTCCTGCTGTTTCTGTGGCCTAGAATAGCATGTATTCATTTCTGCACAGCAGTTCACCTTCAACAAAGCTGCCCACCTCTGCCCTGATTATAGTCTAATTCTTAAGATACTCCCTTGAAACACAGGGTTTGAAACATGTCTCCCATTTATTTCCTAAACAAGCACTGCAGTCAAATAAGCTCCCATACAAAAGACAAGGATCTTCTTTTAGAAAAATAGATTGCAGAAAAAACCCAAGCAGTCTAATTATCTGCATCTATCATTAATTGCAGGAGATTCCAGAGCCATTACAGAGATGCAGGGCAGTGGGGGGAAGACACCACATCAGCGACAAAGGCAGATGTTTAAACCAAGTCCCTGCTTGCTTATTTCTGACTGAGGCAGCCTTTCACATATGCCTTCCTCCCTTCTCAGCACAGTGGACAAAGCTTAGTGGATTCCACTCCTGAACCAAATACCTAACCTTCAGGCTTTTGCTAGGTGGCTTGTATTCCCTTCTGTGAATCTGACCTAAAGTCATTTTTCCTGAAGCCACAGACCAACCAAAAATAGATGCCTCCTGAATTCCACATCAGATTGTTGCCACCAGAAAATTCTACTTTCCAAGAACAGCAGAATTTTATTCAAATGTGTCACTACCAAATCCTTCAAAGTGTCTCATCTCCCACAGTAAAACAATGGTCCCATCTAAATAGTAACTACATGCTTAAGACAAAGTTTTACAAGAGAGGATAATGGAAACCAAACTAACCATTCAAAATGCCACTAGGTGCATAATAAGAAACATTAAGTTCTCAGGGGCTTTTTAGTCCCAGGCTACTTAAGGATACTACCTTTTGGGGGGTTTTGGTAGAAACTTACAATATAGGTAAAGCAATATATTTTCTTGTAAAAATTAGCAGGACCAGTAGGACTAAGGGAGTTTATAAAAATACACAGAACAAACATAAGCACTAGGAAGAAACCAGTATTGCCAATATTACATTTGTTATTCGTAATCACAACTAATACATGTAGAACAGAGAAGGGTAGTGGGAATTTCAGTTGTAAGTCTGTTACTCAACTTGCTCCCTTCTTTCAGGATTTTAAACTACACTAATAGAGTCACTGCAGTGAAACCTGCTATTGACCTTTGCATCCACAACCTGTTCCTCACTGTACATGCATCACAGATCTAACTGGCTCATCGGTCATGTACACCAACATCTTCAGCACAGCCCAGATGTCTTTTGAAAGAGCAACACGATAGAATGCAAATAATCAACAAGATTTCAAGGTGGTTAAAGTCACCCAGGGCCTGTCATGGTGAGGTTTCCTCCATCTGGAGGCTTTTGAGACCTCTGCTACTTCCTATTCTGATCAGATGCTCTATAGCAGGCTCCTACTATGTTGTTAGTCATCTTGGTCTGTTCTCCAACGCTCATCCCAAAATGCTCAACTGTGTGACCCATTCCAAGGAAAGCCCCATTCACTCCAGCTCCAAATCCTGGCCTAGAGCACAATCTCTCCTAGTCGCCTTCCCGTACTGTTTTTGCTTATGAATCTGTATCCATCCATAACAGCATCTCAGTCATGTCAGCTATTACAGTAACATCATATGTGTACTACCACACTCATCTAATTTAAACAAACCATATTGCAACTTAAAGTGCAACTGAATTAACAATTCAAAACAGTACACACTTCATATTTGCTGGTCTTAATTCTAAAAAGGACTGCAATGGCAAGGAGTCAGGATTCACACTGATGCATAACAAACCTAACAGACATAAAGCACTGACAGCCTCTATCCAAAACTACAGCCGAAGCAAAAGGAATGCACTTGATGAGACCAAGTTTGTGCCTGAGATTTCACACAACAAAAAAACTGCAGTACAACCATCCATGGCAATGAATTTGGAAGAAAAGCAGAGTCAGCAGAGGAAACCTCAAACTCAGATGGTTTCCTCAGAGAGGAAAACTCAAACTTAGTTTGCCAGAAACAAGCCTCTCTCTTTAGACAATAATATAAAGCCTATTTTACATAGTCAGGTCTTTGGTCAGTAATCAACAGTTTAAGCATATGCAGCACAATTCATTTGAATTAAATTATCAATCCCTGAGAATGCCTGATGAGCACTTAATACCGGTGTGCTTTAATCTCAAAAAAGATGTCAAAGGAAGAGACTCAAGTCAATGTTCTGGGCATAAAACTCATAAATTTATGCTTTTTTTATTATTACAGAATCTGGATATTAATTTTGGTCCCAAGTATCCCTTTTCATCACAGTTGAAATGCTAGCAAAAAACCCCTCTGTTTGAGCCTGTCTGTTTAGTAGCCATGCAACTCTAAAATATCTGTAATGGCTAAAAGAAAGCAATGTAGTATCTGTATAAATTTAAAATTGGAGTACAGCATAATCCAACAAGTACTTACGACTGACAGTAAGCAAGGCGGAGTATAAAATGAGAGATATGGTCTTTTCTTCTTGCCTCGTAATCATCCTCAGCCAAAGCCTACAGAACACATTATTACTATTATCTCAGAGAAATAATCTCTCCCAGATTAAAAATCCACAATTAATTTATCATTGCTGTTCAACAGTGTATTAATACTCATCTTTAAGACAATAAATGCAAGACTGTTAAAGAAGGGGGTTGTCCTAAAGAAAGAAACCTACATGCTCAAAGAAAAACTACATCTCTAACAGAACTTAAGTTTTAGGAGTATTATTTCATCACCTGTACTTTTATGCAGAATTCTGAATGATGTGAAAAAAATAAAGTGCAAGAGAGTTCCCTTATTTCATTTTTACTTACTTTGTAGGCAAACTTAAGTTTCCGGAGCTCAGTCCCCAGCTTAGTTTTGTATGACTCACCACTTTTTACATGGCTCACACCAAGGTTTTCAACTATTTTGAGAACTGGGGGAAAAAAAAAGAAAAAGCTTATGTTAGAGACAACATATTGAAAAGAAATCTAACTGTGTCATGTCTTGGGAAATGCACAAACTGGGGTAAGGCCACAGGAATTGCTTTTCGTGGTATGGGGAGCAAAGAGGTAAGAAACACGGAGGATAAGGGGTGGCCCACCAGTCCTGAGCAGCTCGCCCAACTCTGGGATCCATACAGTCAACAAGGAAAGGGCGACAGCTAACCCTGATGGATCAGTCTCAGAACATCGGTGTCCACTATACTGATGGAATCCTTGGATTCCGTGGTTTTCCGTAGTTCAGGGGAACCCTTGCCCCCAGCCACAGCAATCTGCTGTATTGAGAGACGTCAAATAGGCTACACCACCTAGGAAGTGAAACACGCTCATAAGAACCACCAGCATAAACCAAAAGCTATACAGCCCTGACTGCTATACACCAAACACGCGTTGTGGAATCAGTCACGGCTCTCTGAAATACCTGAAACAACACGTTTTCCGTTAAAGGAGGGCGTTCATTTCAGCATAGGCAGGCAGCCAGCCCACATTAGTAAGAGGCAAAGACAGCATCTATGCCCGCCAAAAATACATACAGCCACGACAGGAAGAATTTAAAGCTTCGGGCTGTGGGACACACGGCCGGGGACGCTACTCACGCTTCAGGCGGTCGATGGCAAAGCTCTCAAACTCCACCAGCGAGATGTTTTCCGTGGGGGGCTCCAGGTAGAACTGCAGGCTGTG